CCACCCAGGGTTTGAGTAGTTGTTCATACAGGCTTTTGGATATAAGAGACACAAACTGGGCCCCAAAACATCTCACTCATGACCTCTACACGTGATCCTGTTTCACTGCTGTTTTTCTGCCTTTCAGCGGCCCTCTCTACCCTCACCGAAGGTTTTTCTGATGTCCTGTCCTGGGAATTAATGACTGCTAATGAACAAGGGGGGGCCAAGGCCAAAGCAAAGTGGTAGGAAATGATCTGAGAAATTACAGTTCCTGTCTCTCTGTGCCTCCATTACCAGCGTGAACGTGCACCCTCTGCACTCTCTGTACAGGGAAACAACACTGATCCTCCCCCATCAAGCCCACTCATCCTGAACACATAAGAGCTCAGACCCCGGTCGAACCTTATCATGTGAGAGAGCTGAGATTAGAGGACTTGGCCCCTCGTTCAAAGCAGAAAAACAACATTGCCTCTCTGGCCACGAGTCAAGCGTGCTAGTTTAAATTAGAGCGCAGCCTTTCACACTTGACATTTAGTGTGGCACAGTATATCTTCACCTTATTTCCACTCGCCAAAAAGTCCACACCCCCTGCCCTGAGTCTTATTAACACACACAGACTGTGTTTCGTTTGGACTGGATTCCTCATTAGACTTCTTAAATCAGCATGACTTCAGTAATGGTTTTATGTTCTCTTAAGAAGTCTTTACAGTCACTGCTGTAAGTTTTAACTGTTGGTGGGATGCCACCCATGCGAGACCAAGGCTACGTCTTAAAGGGTGCGGCTGGTCCGGGCCTTGTCACCATCTGAACTCATATTAGAGTAGGAAAAGAAATGATTTCCTTTCTTTGAGCTGAGATTTACATTTTAAATGTATGATTTTTAGATATCAGTGTTCCATTTTTGCTGTCTCTTGTTAAAAAAGTGCACTTGATCGTATTTAATGTGCACTTGTAGTGTACTTAAAATCTTAGAAGTATATATTTATAAAAATGTACTTGAAAATAATACATCAATGAAATAAAAGGCCATTTAAGTGTATTTTGAAGAGAGTAATAAAGGTTTTATTTTAAAGGACATTTTAAATAATTTTTTTTTTATAATGTTTTGTCATGTTTTAAACAAGTACACTTATTTTGTTGACTAACATACTAAAGCACATGTAAAGTACTTAATTATAATTTTAACTGTAGTCTATTATTCAACGTTACATTTCAAGTTACATTTTTAAAGTAAAAATTGCAACATCATTAAAATGTGTAATTGCAGAAATATTTAAATACATGACATACATGTTTCATTAAAAATAACAAAAACTTGTCAGTAAATTTGACAGTAAGCTTTAACCATATTTCAAAGACAATAAATGTAATTATGAAATTACATTTAAAGATGTACTTAAGTCATACTTAAGTGCTTCGCTGGAAAGTTCAGCTAACTGCATTTAATATCAGTTGAAACTATAATACAATTTTCATTCAATTACAATTAACATGCAGTTAAGTGTGTGAAAACACACTTATTCTTTTAAAGTATATTATGTCTGTAAAAAGTCAATAAATGAAATCTAAGTTTCCTTACCAAACCACCTGCCACCATGGACATATTCATAAACTATTTTGGGGGGAAATTATTGTTTAGTTTACATCACAATGAAAAATACCTGACAACATTATCAGGAGATACATGAACAATATGCCATAAAATCCCAAAGAAATGTTCTTTTATAGGATAGAAGACATTTTTCATCAATGTTTCTCTTAAAATTCGTTATGTGAAATAAAAATAGACACAAATGAGATAATTGTGAACATACAGTAAACATAAAGTCGAGTTAAAGACAACATGCAAGTCAAATCATTTGATTCCAGAGGGACTTAAATTCCTATTTGACTGCAGACTATTGGTATCTTGAGCACATTTTGAGATACGGTCGAGATTTCACTGGAATCCTTGATGACATTATACTGGCTTTTTTCCCCTCAGGAGAGAAATATGAGAAGCATGGAACTTAAGAAAACATCTTAATTTGCTCTCAATATCATCTCTAACCAGCAACTAACTAACAGTTTGTCATTTTACTTTCCTCTGAGATATGCTAGATTCTTTTAAAAAACCTCTGTGTGCATCATAAAAACAGGAATCCTTACCTTTTTATAGCCTCTTTTAGCTTCTCCGGATCAAAGCAGAACGGACTGCCTAACAGAGACAAACCAGAAGAGCGGATCGTAGAATCTGAAGGAAACTCCCCACTGTTTATCCCTGACTGGCTCAGCCAGTGTTCAACATCATCCCTTCATACCGCTCATTATAGCCTCAGCCCACTCCGGTTTCACAGAGACGCTCCAGCATCCAACAGTGTGTGTGTGTGTGTGTGTGTGTGTGTGTGCTGGAGGAAACTGGCAGTAATCCTGTAAAAAGTTCCTCAACTCTGAGCCTTACTGTAATCAAATGCGGTTGTTAGATGAGGGGCTCATAAAGGAGAACTTGAGCTTTACTCATCGCTGCTTTTCCTGCCAGTCCCACCCTTTTGTCTGCTGCATGCCAAGCATTGCTGCTCTCTGCTACTCTGCATTTCTCCCTTCGAAGGTTAAAGTTAGAAATTTAAACAAACCCCTAATCTGACGTAATAAACTTTGGTGTGCAACTCATCCTGCACCATTTATGCAACAGATACTTCATGCTACTTGTTGACAAAAACTGTGCTATTAAGTTTCTAAGTCATGAAATTTACAATATATGTCTGGCGTATGATAAAACTTGCGAAGAAATCCAATAGATTTACCTTGAAGGAGAGACCAACATATTGTACAGACTTGAACCAGTAAGAAACCATCAATTATTGCCTTATAAACCACTCAGAACTGCATAGCAACACCCTGGGAACCATCCGAAACACCTTAAAACCTTCAGAAAGCTTCATTATCTAGTTGGTGTTATTGTAGTGGACTTGTAGTCCAGAGTGTGACGAAAAACTAGCAGGAGCCTGAAGCCTAATCATGTGTGTAATGTGTAACCTGAGCACTTTTGCCTTCACCAACTCGTCTTATCCGTGCTTTTATGTAGTCATTGTGTGGATCTTAATCCTGTGCACAAAGAGTAATAAGAGCTTTGGACACACTGTAACATCATATCCTGTTGTGTTCGGAGAATTCTCTGACAGAGGATTCATTACACGTTCTGCCTCAGAGCTCAGTTCATCACCTGAATACAGTGCAGTGGATCACAATAGAGCCAGTGTATGGGTATTTCGCAAATATCACGAAGCTTGTTTGCCAGTGTACAGCATGTCCACTATCATAGGCTGCCAGGGTGTTGCTATGCAGTTGCTAGGGTGTTCTGGGTGGTTGTTAGGAGCTTGCTTGCTTGCCAGATCAAAAGACCCCATACCCAAGTGTCTATGACGTTCTTGCTGATAGATATGGGAACTTTTCACCCATTTTATCATCATAAAAATCTGACAGGTTCGAAGAGTAATAATGCACCTCTTCTCAACAAACTGGAAAATCTGAAGTATTGTTCATTCATATGTTGCACAAACTGTGCAGGATGAGTTTAGCGGTAAATATCACCACAATTTCAAATCTAAGTGGGTCAATAAATAAAGAAATTGAAAAAAAAAAAAACTGTAGTTTAAAATGTATGTGAAAGCTTTATTTTCATGTTTTGTGTGGTTTTATGGTGTTCTGTATAATTTTCAGTAAAAATAAAATAAATTAAATTTAATTTAATTTAATTTAATTTAATTTAATTTAATTTAATTTAATTTAATTTAATTTAATTTAATTTAATTTAATTTAATTTAATTTAATTTAATTTAATTTAATTTAATTTAATTGATATTAAAGTGTCATTATGCATATTGGTTAAAAACTATGTTTAGTTTTAGATATTTAAAAAAAAATTATAATTAGTTAGTTTAATTAGTTTTAACTAATTAGTTATTTAGTTTTAAGTTTAAAAGGGTAAAAAGTATATTTTACAAATATCATGATTATGAATACATAAATATCATTAATCACATTTTTGGAGTGTTTTAACATATAAAATGTTACAACCTGAACTAAGCCTGCCTTGCCATAAAATGGTAAAAGTATCTGATATTATATCTGAGAGTTATTGACAATAACACAATAATGATAATAAAATACTATGTCAAACTACTTCTTCATTTGAAACTAATGAACTTTTTGTTCATCATGACTTCAAGACAGTTGCATCACCCTGCCTTTTTATTTTTATTTTTTGATGTTATGCCACCAAAAAATACCAAAGCTCATTCAGAAATGAAAAACATTTTGATTATAGAAGAACTGTAAGGCACTGTATATATATAAATTGCCTTTTTGTATGTAACCTATTTTTAAATAAACTGATAGTGCCAATCAGAAAAAAATGAGTATCATGTCATGTATGTCATGAAAACTGACACTTCTGGCTGTACAAGCTCAATTTTACACATTGTTGTGTTATGAAATGATTCATAGTGCAATTCGTAATTCAAGGCACTGATAAAATGTGCGCTTTAGCATGCATTACAGTTAACATGGTGTGTTTTTTCTTTAAAGTCAACTATCTTTAAATAGGTTAAAGGTAGCTAAGCTGTTGACATGCTTAGATAGCCTAGCTAAACAATAAGAACACATTCGCTTTAATGGCACACACATTTAAAGGAAACTCTATCGCCCCCTTGAGTATTGGAGTTTGTTACCGCCACAGTGTTAAAAGGTTCATTCAAATAATGACTCATACATTTGCATTAGAAGGTAACACAAAACTGGTTCTTACCACTTCTTGACAAATCACATTAAAATTCAAACTCTGATTTAATTAAAAATCCAGAAATCCACCATGAATAAGGAAAACCTTGACCTAGTGACTTAATCAGGTCAGAGAATGGAGAATATGGCGCCTGACGCCTCCGTGTCATCCTCTAAATTGGGCTTTATGAGTTAGCATTGTGCTGTTTGTGCATTAATCTTACCCCACAACAATTCAATGAGCGATTTGTTGTGGCACAATGCGTCTCATTCACCACCCGCTTCCTGTGTGGGAAGTTCTGGCCGATCTCTGTCTCTCTCTAACTGTCCTGAGTGAGTACCAGCCAAACAGATCCTTTCAGTCTTCATACCATTGCATCAAACATTCATTGTTATTTCAGTTACATTTGTGTACAAGATGCTTATCACGCACACGGATTTAATCACCATTGTTTAGAAAGTCCAAGTTTGATGAGTAAACTGCAATGGCATTGATTACGAACAAAGTCAGATTACGATTGTTTGTTTGCCACTGGAATAAATCTCATTCTAATAAACCAATATCTCCAAAGCACAATGAAAACTTGGTAATGCATTCCTTTAAAGTGATGACTTCAAACGTCTGGTATTCCCATCCTGCCACTGCCACAGACGGAGGGCAGACCAGTGGGCGTCTTCCAGAAAGAGCTGCACCCAATGCCAGACCATGTAAGGCCAGCCAACGTGCCCAAAAATAAATATCAAAGATCACTGGGAGAGGGTGGGAGAAATGGATGTAGAAGGAGAGAAAGAAACAGAGTCTCGCAGATGTTTTCAACTCGTCAGGAACGCCGCCGCTCGACCGTGGATGCGGTCCATATGTGCTTCTGGCTGTATGTGGAGGATCACAGAGCATTTCTGTCTGTCTGCATGCAGCAAAACCCCAGTGTAGTTAATGGGATCGCCCCACTCTACCGCCACTTTGCTCTTCTGCTTTGATAGGCCATGTGGGCCGCCTACTTCAATGTAGTTAGTCTGATCTTCCTGCAATTTCAACACTTGGCACATTAAAATAACAAAGTCCAGATGTCTGATTAATGGGAGCCACCAACCCCTTTCAACCTTTGCACTCTGTTCAACCGAAGACATGCAATACAGTTAATTGCTGGAAAATATGGTGCTTCGAAAGAATGATGGTGACATAGAAGGGACTATTATAAGTGAAGTCAGTTCACTTGGCATGCAATATCTGCCTAAAAACTGTTGGCTAATCTTTCATTCAAATACATTTTTTAATATAACATAAGGAAAACATTGCTTTAGCATGATTTATATGCAAACTTCCGTGTATGGTCACTAATGAAAAATAAGTGTACTTAATTGTATTGAAAGTGCACTTATAGTTTACTTCAAATAAAAGCATATTTAAAAAAAAAAATAAAAAAAAAAAAACATATATACTTGCAGTATATTTGCAGATAATATTAGTGAAATAAAATGTCGCTTAAATGTATACAGAGATGCAGTTAACTTTAACACACTTAAGTAGACTTTTAAAAAGTGCACTTTGTAATAATGTCAAATTAAAAGTTTGACTCTAAAGTACTTTTTAAATCATTATGTTTTTGTAATCTTTTATCAGGCTTTAAAGAAGTACACTGATCTGACAAACATACAAAAGCACATGTAAGGTATTTGGTTACAATTTTAACTATAGTGTGTTATTCATTTAAAGTAAATATATTTAAGTACTAAATTACAACTTCATCATTACAAATATGTAATTAAAAATACACTCTAAAAAATGATGGGTTAAATATAACCTGCAGCGCTGGGTTAAAAAGGGACAAACCCAGCTATTGAGTTGTTTTGACCCAGCGGTTGGGTTGTTTTGGAGTCAAAACAACCCAACCGCTGGGTCAAAACAAACCAACCGCTGGGTCAAAACAACCCAATAGCTGGGTCAAAACAACCCAATAGCTGGGTCAAAACAACCCAGTAGCTGGGTTTGTCCCTTTTTAACCCAGCGCTGGGTTATATTTAACCCAGCATTTTTTAGAGTGTATATTTAAATACACGACATACATGTTTTATTTGAATTGGCATTAAAAGTGTATTTTAGTTTGCCATAAATGTTTGTCAGTACATTCAGCAGTACAATTTTACCATATTTCAAAAACAATATAATGATGAAATTACATATAAAGGTGTACTTAAGTCATACCTAAGTGGGCCAAAAAGCATTTTATAGTTCAAATAATTGCATTTATTGATTTACACTATAAAACATTTTCATTCAGTTTTAATTAATATGCAATGAAGTTGCTATGCACTTATATATTGTTTTAAAGTATATTATTTCCATAATTGCTCTTTTTAAAAGCAAGCTAAAGTATAAACAAGGGGTTAAATGTTGGCTTCTGTAAAGCTTCGGTTATCTTTGATTGTTTCATGTTCAAATGATGCACTTGTTTGGGTGGTGTAGAATAAGGAAGTAGGGACAAAAGTAATCTATAAAGTTTTTTAGTTTTTTCCATTGAAATAGGCCTATTGTTTGCGTAAAGTAAACTTCATAAGTTTGTGTAATTTGTTCTCTATAGTGTGTAGTCAAATTAACTACCCAGGCAGACAACAGCACACATGCAATAAGGTAACATATACTAAGTGGAAAGGTTCATAAAAAATCTGACAAGACAAAAATTTAGGAATTAAATCAATTGAGGGGCTAAGATTTTTTACCAGTTTTAGGCCTGACACAAAGCAGAGAACGGACAGTACAACCCCCCTAACTCTGGAAAATCATTGTAAGACTTGGTTTTAAATGGCTTATTGCTTTGATAATTTGGTTTATCTGGTTAGCATGACCTGTTAGCTGCTACTTTTAGATGCTGTAACTACATCATCAGCCAGGAAGAAATGCTACATTTCTTCGAGTTTACTTAAAGGGATAGTTCACCCAAAAATGAAAATGTGATGTTTATCTGCTTACCCCCAGGGCATCCAAGATGTAGGTAACTTTGGTTCTTCAGTAGAACACAAATTATGATTTTTAACTTTAAAATCTCTGTTTGTGTTCTGCTGAAGAAACAAAGTCACCTACATCTTGGATGCCCTGGGGGTAAGCAGATAAACATCAAATTTTCATTTTTGGGTGAACCATCCCTTTAAGCACTGTCTCACCCCCCTATATTATAATACTGCACAAGCTATTGCATATGTGCCCTCAGCCAGGCTGAGGAAAAATAGGGGCCAGGTCAGGGAATTGTGATGATGATTTCTCATTCACTGTATGTGAATGCATGACATTCCCTCATTTCACGGGAGAAATGAGTGCCTGAAATAAACGAGAACTCATGCGGCCATCTAGTGCTGAGTATTGGAATTACTTTAACATTTGCTGAACAAATCCTCTATGTACAAAAAGTCAGTATTCAACGAAAAAACTTCACTAACTCTCAGCCTGCATGTTGAAAACTGCATGTAAAAAAAATAAAGTCTGGTAAATGCTAGATTAAAACAAAAAATGTCTGTTGTACAATCTGTAGTTTGAATTGTACTGTGTATCTTTTTTGCATTCAGTACAGTAGTGAAGTTGACTGCCTGGATGTTACAAGAGGAAATACAACCTTTCAGTCAAGGTCAAATAAACCCCAATAAAAACAAAGGATAGTAATATTTTTCAAGTTGAACTTCCAGATTTGCTGTTCTAATTATTATTATTTTTTGTCATTTATGTGATGTTCACTGCCTGGATGTTGCAAGAAGAATCATCTTCTGGGGGAAAAAATAAATAAATAAACGGGTATGTGCCAGATTGAGAACCCTAAAATAAAAATGATAACTGTGGGTAAGTCATATTTCTCAGACATTTCTATTGCACAACTTAAAGTTTAATATGCACTGTATTTGTTTCTTATTCATTAAAACAGTGATGTTCACTGCCCTTATGTTGTGAAAAGAAACACTGTATATTTTCCACTGAGGTCCAATATAAATGTAGCAAGTGACAGATTAAACACAAAAAAGGGGGAAAACAATCACAGGTGAGTAATATTCCTCAAGCAAATCTGCTCTCTGTTGTACAACCTGTAGTTTGGTTTGATACTAAAACTTTTCTTATTCATTACAGTAGTAGGAATGGCAACTGCTATGTTGCAAGAGAAGATGTCGCCTGTCAAGTGAGGTAAAATAAACTCTGGTGAATGCCAGATTAGAAATCAAAAAGCACAGGGGAGTAATGTTTTTCAAGCATATTTGCTGTCTGTTGTACTACCTGTAGTTGAACTGATACTGTCTATCTTTTGTCATTTATTACAATAGGGATGTTCACTGCCTGGATATTACAAGAGGAAATTCTGCCGGTCAACTGAGATAAAATAAACACTGGTGAATGCCAGATTAAAAATAATAAAGCACAGGTGAGTAATATTGTTAAAGAATTTCCGCTCTCTAGATTTAAAGGATTTAAATCTTTTTGTCATTTACTACAATAGGGATGTTCGCTGCTGGAAGATACAAGAGGAAATGTAGTCTGTGTGTGCATTGGGGTAAATAAAACTCAGGTAAGGGTCAGATATAAAAATATTTTTCAAACATCTTATTGCATGAACCTGAAATTGAAATGCCTTATCTTTCAAACAAATTTCAGTGACAGTTTCTGTCTTTCAGATTCTTTGTTTACAAACCTCTTTAAACGAAATTACACTGTTTATACATGTAGCTGTTTATAGGCTACAGTAAAACAAAAAAAAAAACAAAAAAAATTGGCAGTGCATTAAGAAAAAAGTAGGTATTAACAGAATTTTTGTAATCACATTTATTTGTCACCTTATTTCTAAAAGTGGTGTTATGTTTTTGACCATATATACAGTTCCATTTTTAGGTGACCCTTCTGTACCAATCTGTATTAAACATGCCTGTAAAACTTTGCTGAAGCTTTTAGCTGGTATGTTTTTAACATTAAAGTCATGATCTGAGCAATATATATATATCAGAATGTTCAGAAATTCAGAATTCAGAAATGTATTTCCTGAAAAAAAAAAAACATTCAGAAGAAATAAATAAATATTCAGTGTTCAGTGCATGGCTCAAAAAGTGGGCAGGTCAAAGATAAAACGTTTTAGACATCACGTTTTTTGAGCTTGGACTGACTAGACTGTTTCAGTCGTTGACAACGCGTGTTTCCTTCGCTAAACTGAAACATTTTTGCAATGTATATGCTACAAGTACAAGGAGGCTGCGCTCTGTGCGCGCGTGAGTGTGGGCGGAGAGAGTTTGACAGTCAGACTGAAGCTCGACACGCTCGCAGATGTCACTGAGAAACAAACCATGACTCCATGAAATACATTTTTTATTATCAGGCTACATTTTTCTTAGAAAAACTCTGAAGGTAAGCTCAATATCTCTATACTTTTCTTTTTTTTTATTCCATATTGCTTAATGCTTTGTTTGATGTAGTTACGAGCTGACATTCACGTTTAATACATGAGCTCTCACACGCGACACACACACACCGCGGTTTAATCATCATTGAGAAGAGAATCATAGTTTGTTCATAAGTAACACATTAAACCGAATATGTTTATTTTGTTAAAAGGCTGAACGGGGTTTCTGTGTTGCTTAACACCAATAGTGTGCTTTGCTTTCATATTCTGTATTTATATATTAACGCTACCTGTTCAAAATCTAATGACTAAACCGCAGGGCTGCACTTTGCTCTAAGAGAAGGTGGTTTAGTAGTAGAGAAGGATGTACTTCCTCAAACACTCTTCGACACATTTGCGGCCGAGCCTCGGATACTTTGCATGTTATGCAGCTAAAAGTTTAAAGAAATGAATGTTACATCACAGACTGACGGTAGGAATTGAATGGTGGGCTGGAAATTACAAGGTTGTATCTTTAAACTTGGAAGTGTTCGCCCACTGGGTGTTTTTTAATGGTCGATGCAGATATCTAGAGAGGGTGACTGATGGTTGGCATTGTGTATAACACAATTTATCTAAATATTTAAATGAACACAATATTCATTCAATTCGCCGTTTTCCTGGATCCAGTCGCTTTTAGGATCTATGACATGGACAAGGACGGCTACATTTCCAACGGAGAGCTGTTCCAGGTGTTGAAGATGATGGTGGGCAACAATCTGAAGGACACTCAGCTGCAGCAGATAGTGGACAAGACCATCGTCAACGCAGACAAGGACGGTGATGGGAGAATATCCTTCGAGGAGTTCTGTGCTGTAAGTCTGGCATATATATATATATATATATATATATATATATATATATACACATCTGATAACATTTCAAATAAGTGGCTGTATTCAGTCAAAAAATAATAATAATAAAATAAATATGGCTGAATCAACCATACAGCATCTAGTGATCTCCAACAACATTTTCAGGGTCAGATCAAGTAGAAATAGGTAACAATTGCATGTTTTCACTTTTTACAGTGGAATGAGAAGGCATGAATATCGACAGATGCAGATAATCATTCATGGATGGATGTATTATATACAGTATAGGCATAATATGGATCTATGCTAGCAGATCTATGCTAGTGTACACTCTTAAAAATAAAGGTTTCAAAAAATGGTTCTTTTAAGAACTGTTCACCAAAAGTTTCTTTCGGGAACCCAAACAATTGTATAAAAAAGTATATGATTATGCATGTTGTATTTAAAGTAGATGACACTATATTCCATGTATGCCCCTAGTGAAAAATAAATATACTAAAATACTTAATAAAAATAACCTGCAATTTAAAAAACTGGTATACTTAAAGTCTGCTAAATTGGAACAACTAATTTTGTACTTAATGCACTTTAATTGTGTGGAAGTAGCGCTGAAGTCCAACTAAAGATACACTGAAGTATATTTGATTGTGCTACAGTGGAACTATTGCAAGTATACTTAAAGATCGATATTATTCAAAGATCATACAGTCCTCATCAATAGTGACATTAAAACACATTTTAGGCTTAATAGTAAGAAATGTGCATTGTGCACAAGTAGTACTCCAAATAAAGTT